CACTACATCTTATTCACTGGATGATTTCATGGTGGCCAGGTACACCTTTTATATACAGGCTATGGACTGAACCAACAAAGATGAGACGATGTGTAATCTCTGCCGCTATTAAAACTTAATGTGTATAAATAAAATGCTCTGATTGTTCTTACGTCCAGAGAAGACGTAGTGATGGTATCCGCCGCTCCCCTGAGGGCTGGTCATGGACAGAGCAGAGGTGATGGGGGTGGGGAATCCCTTCAGAGACACTTTGATGTTGATCTCTCCACCCAGAAGAACTCCTGAATGTCAGAAATAAAAATAGCATGGTATTAAAAAGCACAGGACCACTTAGTCCAACATGGTTACCAGCTCTTTAAAGCTAAAAGGAACAGAATTTAAATAATTTGTTGAGTTACAAACCAGTATTCATGGAATTTCTTGGTTTCTTGCTGCAGGAAGGAATGCTGTCTGGTGGGAATGTGAAGCTCTGCAAAATTTCTCCTAGTGGACAAATATAGAGATCATTACTATAGATTCTACCTGTATGTTTTGTTCAGTTTTATATAGGCATTTATATACTGTTTAATTGTGTTTATATTTAATCTAAGTGCAAGGTTGAATCTGCAAAAAAAATAAAATAAAATAATGACACTGTTACTGTAGCCCCTGCCATAACCAATGATGTCACTGGCTTCATCTCTGGGGACCATGAATTTTGTGGTATGTGGGGGGTGGCATTTACAGTGTGTGGAAACTGTTAAATTGGGCACTAGCATTGGCACCATGACAGTGGAGTTATTTTGGGTCTGTCTTTGTTCCTCACCATTCTTAAAGAAGTACACAGTTTCTGGTTTGCTCCTGGTGGCCGGCACTGCCAGTGCAGCACTGATGTGTCCCGTCAAACCAGGGAATTCTGAGACCAGAGGTTTGGGGTAACCCGGCTCCATCACCATGTTCCCATCTAAACGCCAGTACTGGTCCCCCTGGAGACAAAGAGTGATTAACATGAGGGATAGCTCAGTAAGTAGAGTGGTGGCCCCATGATCGGAAGGTCGGGGGTTCGATTCCCCTGAACAGTTACCCTGAGGTACCCCTGAGCAAGGTACCATCCCTACACACTGCTCCCCGGGCGCCCAATGGCTGCCCACTGTTTAACTGAGTGAATGGGTTAAATGCAGAAAGAAATTTCCCCACGGGGATCAATAAAGTACACTTTCTTTCTTTCTAATACATCCAACATCCATCAGCACAGAGGGTGCTTTTAGGACTGCTCTTCCACTATGATTCCCCCTTGTTGTATTCATACAGCTACTTGCTGTAAAAGGTCATGGTACAGTAATCCAGTACTGAAAACTATATCCCCTTTCAATGTGGTAAGCAACTGTTATATTTAGTTTAAAACGTCAGATTCTGACTTTTAAACCTCAAAACTTTAATGAAAACGTCCAGGATGATGCTTATAGATTATCCACAAAGAGGTGGTCTGGCTCAGCTGATATTCTACACATCTAATCTCGTATGAAGTGCTTTGATTAAGCAGGTTTTAGTCTGCTCAAAGTTAGTGTGCCTATACAAGCTGCTTTGCAACCCACTTGCACTCGGCCTCCTCATTTCATGTTGTGCACACTATAATCAATGCTTTATTGTTTGATGACTATGCTGTGTTCTCAGTGATGTTGCTGACGCTGTGGTATCACTAATAACAACATGCACTTTAGACATTTAGCAGACACGAAAAGAAAGAAAAGGTGACATACAGGGGCAGCTTTAGTTGTGATACTGTGACGGATTCTAGCGATATCTATACCTTGATAATGTAGGTGTTTCCTTGGCAGTTGGCACGTGTGAAGATGGTGTCGATGGGAGATGAGATGCCCAAAGTGTCTGTGATACTTTGTGGCTGACCCACAGAGCGGCTGATGGGATCAACGGACCAGAATAACTCGCCTGCAACACACACAAACATACATACACATATTAGGCACATCACATAACCTGTAAATCACATTACATAATATCACTGTCCAAGTGCCAACCTGTAATTATCAAAATATATAAAATTCTGGCCACCTGAGGCCAACTCCCGAAGTAAATCACTCTGCTCAATCACTTTGTATTAAAACACCAAACTTTAAAACATTACAAAGCAGGTGTACAACCTAGTACATCTTTTTATTTGTTTGTTTAAGAATCTGGATTTTGCTAAGAGTTAAAGTTGGAGGTGTGGCTTCTTTGATTGATAGCTGTGTCAACATA